CTAGTACGCAAGGCTGTAAGGTCAGGACTGGATTGGACTGCTGTGCACTGGAAATCTAAATGGCAACATCCTAAAATCTGGAGTGGACTGGAACGCTAGGCGCGGTCAGACTGGCAACGCTGTCAGGCCTGGAGCGGACCGCGTCACTGGGCCTGCCCATGTCTCGGCCGATGCAGGCGGGGACTGGAGCTTGTCTGAGGACAGACGAGCTCCTGCAGGCAGCAGGCAGGAAAGTGGGAGAGAAGACAGATCTCATTTCCATCCCCAGCTCGTCAGGGACCTGGGGACCGGAGCCTTGTGGGCTTCGGGCTTCCTGTCTCATTACACTCACCTCACGTTTATAAATACAGACGGAGAGCGAGAGAGACACCGGCACCTTATTAGCAGGTGTTAATTGGCTTTGTCTCAACGAGGGCACAGAGATGTTGTGATCGGGTAGAGGCGAGAAGGTACACATAAACAAGCAGGTACAGCAGAGCTCACATCACCTGGACCTGCTGGGGTCCCAGCTGTGAAAATCTTGGGGCGCCAGTCTGTGGTCAGCAGGAAGGAGGCTGACGTCTGTGATTGGTCAAGACACAGTGGGCGTCAATCTGTGACTGGTCAGGGCGTCGGGGCTCAACCGGTGACTGGTCAGTGGTCATCAGTAAGGAGATCAGTCCGTGACCAGTCAGTCATGGAAGAGCTTGTAACAGGAGGAGGTGCTCAGTGACTAGTCACTAATGGGGTGGACACTGGTGTGGGCCTGGTCACTGACACAGTGGACACCCCTCAGCGACCAGTCAGTAAAGGAGCTGGTCAGCAGTATGGTGGACACTGGTGTGGGCCTGGCCAGTTGGATGAGCGGGCACCAGTCTCTCAGACACACTGGCGCAGTGGGTATCACTCAGGCTGAGGAGACAGTGCTATCATATCAACACAGTGCATCTGTTTCCTAGGTAATGAGTCCCTTGTTAGGAGCAGAGCTAATTAATTTCAGTCCAATTAGCAGGCATTAGTGCGTTAAAGGCAAACAGACCAGCCGTTGCAAAAACAAGGACACAAGTGAAGCACTGTTTCACCCTGAGAGTCTGTCCGTGTCTCTCATTCCAGTGTCCACCTCTGAACCTGCTCTCAGAGACCCTCCCTCGTCCCTGCCAGTCTGCCTCAGACCCCCTCTCGCTCTCCTCTCTCATCTCCTCTCTCTGTCCCTCTCATCTCCTCTCTCTATCCCCCTCTCCCTGGGATGGTCCTCCTAACAGGGTCCCCTCCATGACAACCCTCCCACCTCCACGTCAATAATTAGCAGCCCTGGTTCTCCTACAGGAGCAGTTGTTGACGACTCTTCTAACGAACTCCGAGACTAATTAGAAGTAGCAGGTGAATTGACCAGGGAGAGAGACAGAGGCTCGGAGTGTGGAAGAGTTAAATGAAATAGCATGAGCTGTTAATTACAGAGACATGGAGCAGGAGAACACAGGGACAGAGGGAGAGAGAGAGAGGGAGCAGGGACAGAGGGAGAGAGAGAGAAAGAGAACGGGGGGGACGAGTTTGGAAATGTTTTTGTTAAAAGTTATTGCTTTGGCAACACTGTAATATTCAACAGTTCTCATCGAGCTCTTTGGATTTGAAAAGAAAGCCGGGAGAGAGAGGGAGCAGGGACAGAGGGAGACATGCAGTGGGGAGGGGAGGGGTGTGGAGGGGGCAGTGCTGATGAGTTTGAATCGGTCTTACAGATTTATCACTGTATTGATTAAGAGACGGCCGGCCACTTAACACCCCCCGAGTCAGCAGAGAGAGGGACTGCGCTGGTTATTTACCTAACTGTTCAGCTCACTCCGAATGCCGTAAATCTCTCCAACACACACACACACGCACACACCGGCTCGTGCTCTGCCTCTGTGGGGTCTCTCTCCCACTGACTCCCAGTCTGCACCAGCTGCAGCAGGCCTGAGAAAACAGTCCGGGCGCTTTCAGGTCTTCAAGAGGCCGCCCGCCGTCTCAAACATCATTCTGACTGCGACCACACATTGGCAGCAAAATAGGAATACACATATAATGGAGCTAGGAGCTCTTCCAGACACCCACACTCCTATTGGTTCACACAGACACACCCACACTCCTATTGGAGCTCACAGACACGCCCACACTCCTATTGGTGCAGTCAGACACGCCCACACTCCTATTGGAGCACACAGACACACCCACACTCCTATTGGAGTACACAGAGACGCCCACACTCCTACTGGTGCACACAGACACACCCACATTCCTATTGGAGAACACAGACACGCCCACACTCCTATTGGTTCACACAGACACACCCACAATCTTATTGGTGCACACAGACACGCCCACACTCCTATTGGAGCACACA